CTGTTGCCCAGACTGGAGTGCAGTGGCACGCTCTTGGCCACCACACCCTTCACCTGCTGGGCTCAGGCGATCCTTCCGCTTCAGCCTTCCAAGTAGCTGGAACTACAGGTGCATGCCACCACACTCGGCTAATTTTTTTATTTATTGTAGAGATGAGGTCTCACCAAGCTGCTCATGCTGGTCTCAAACACCTGAACTCAAGCAATCCTCTCATCTCAGCCTGGGACTACAGGCTTGAGCCAACAGGCCCGGCTTTGTATTTATTCTTACATATTTAAACTTCAGTCATCTTCAAAGTACTCACTGTTTGATGCACTACACATATTGAGATGCTCTTTTCACTGCTCAAAACAGTTTTTGAACTTGTTCATTTTGATGCCTTTTAGTGTTTCTGCTGTTTTTTATTTCACTTCTTTCACATGGGCAAAACATTTCCCTCTGAGCACTTTTTTCATTCAGAGAAACAAAAAAAGCCACTCAGAGTGAGATCGCGTGAATAGAGAGGGTGGGGCACAGGGGTCATGCGGTTTGGGGTCAAAAACTTCTGAACACTCAGCATGGTGTGGGCACATGCCCTCATAAATCACCCACAAAGAAATGGGCAAATGCATTGAAAGGATCTCCAAAACAAAATTCACTGAAAGCTAAACACAGCTTCGCACAACAACACTAGCGGTACACTGATGCCGAGAGGTTCCTTGAGCACTTACTTTAGCAGGAGAAGACTGTACTACAAGGGTCTGCCTTCCAAAAGATAATTCCAAGTTTTTTGGGGTTCCCCTTGAAGTTATGTTTAAAGGAGGGAGATGTAATTAAAAGAAATGTCTGCTTGACTATCTTACACCTCTATCCTTGCCAGTGGACATGCCTGGACCATGTCCATAACTCAAACAGGAAAACTCGTGTGATGGGCATTTCTGAAGTTCTTCCTGTATGCTAGGTGTAGGGGTCATTTCCCCCAGAGAGTATGCATCACACCCTGGTGAAAACCAGCAGCCCAGTGTGACACAGGCTTCTTGGCCTTTCTGAGGCCAAATCCCAACCTTGGAAGGATCTGCTTGAAATTATTCTTTTTTTTTTTTTTGAGTCAGACTCTCACTCTGTCATCCAGTGCAGTGGCAAGCTCACAGCCACCTCAGCCTCAACCTGCTGGGTTCAGGTGATCCTTCCACCTCATCCTTCCAAGTAGCTGGAACTACAGGCGCGTGCTACTACGCCCAGCTAATTTTTTGTTTTATTGTTGAGACAAGATCTCACCAAGTTGCCTAGGTTGGTCTCGAACCCCTGGGTTCAGACAATCCTCTCGCCTCAGCCTCCCAAAGTGCTGGGATTACAGGCTTGAGCCACCGTGCCCGGCCTGAAATTATTCTTAAACCAAATCAATTTGGGAGTCTGTTGCTTCGGTGAATTTGCTGAACTGCCTTTCATCACCTCAGAATTCAACTGATTTGGGCCTCAGGAAGTGTTATGGTCCAAATAACACTCGGCTGCTCCCCTTGATACCAATAAATCAAAGGGGAAGGGAACTGATAGAAAGAAGTTTATTTTTGAGTTCAAATCCAAAGAGCAGAGTCAGACTCAGGTATTTCTAAAATGGTTCTGCTTGCCCTCCAGGCTTTTACAGTTCACTTTTATAAGTCCAGAGTTGTTCGTACCTAGACATTAGCCATGTGACCAGCAGAGCGTTGTCTAGAACTTGAGTTTCAGCCTCATTTATCGATAGTGACGTTTTTCTGTCCAGACTTCCTGGTGCCAGGTATCAGAGGTAAATCATAGCTTTTATCAGCAGGACCTGGCAGAAGCGTTAATCAAGCTTGCTATAGAGTAAAGGGAGTTTACAAGGCCTAAGGCATCATCTGTTACGTTATACAAATCACAAAATGTATGATTACATTGATACAAAAGTTATACAGATCACAAGGTTTACAATTACATTGATACCATATTATTTAAACGTATACCCACTCAGAAAAAGGCAGTAAATGGGGATTTGCATCTTTCAGTTGACTGGGCTTAGACTCCAGGGAAGTCAAGGACCCTTGAAGCTACTTACTGGGAGTGCACAGGAGATAAGGGGAAGCACGCCTTTTATTAGCTCTTAGGAATATTGTTCAGGCATGTACAGGAGCTTTTGAGCCCTCACCATGTCCTTCTCTAGGGGCTGTGACAATATGGACAGACATTAGGGGGTCTCTTTTTTAAAATGGCCCCACAAGCCAGCTCAGTGGTGTGTGCCTGTCGTGCCAGCTACTTTGGAACCTGGGGTGGGAGAATCCCTTGAACTCAGGAGCCCGAGGCCAGCCTGGGCAATATAGCAAGATCCCTGAAAAATAAAATAAAATGGTCCCACAGGAGATGAGGGAAAGATTGCACTTCCTGGTCTAATGCAGGCATCTCGCACCTCCCCAGACCTGCTGTCCCCTTGGTTGGGAGCTCCCAGTCCTTGGCCACCCAGGAGAGAAACCTGAGACTCACCTCAGGCCCCTCCTGGGTGCATCTCCAACCCCACTCCCTCGACTTTCTCCCCAAACCCTCTCTTAAACTCAGACCTGCTGGACTGTTGGCCAGCAGCACCTGGAGGCCCCCAGCGCCCACCTCCTGGCCCCCACTTGGCATGATCCAGCTTTCTCGGTTTTGCAGGCCTGATAGGCCTCGGTGATGCCTGTGTTTCTTTCATTTGCATCTCTGCAGTTCACATCAGGTCTTTTAATCCCTCTGTGCATATGCTGGAAGCCTTTGGTTCTATTTCCTCAGCATCCCTGGCCTTCCTGGCTCCCCTCTCAGGCCCAGCCTCAGCCCTCACTGGTTCCCTGCCTCTTGAGCCCCTCAATCTTCGCCAGGCCAGCTGCCTAAGTTTGTGTCTCTGCTCTGCTTCTCCTTCAGAAACTGCCCAGGCATCCTTGACGAGCATGCACACCCCTCGCTACCCTTACCCTGCCCCCACCCCCGGGCCCTGTGGAATGGGCTCTATCCAGCTCCCCATCTCCTCCTCATCTCCTCCACCTCCCCATCATCCTTGGCCCTGACCTTTCCTGCCTGCCTCACTCTGTCCATCAGTCCACGCTTCTCCTTTTACCTCCACTCTGCCCATGACCCTCCTCGAGGCCCCAGATCGAGGGCAGCCCTCTCCAGGCCCATGCTGGCCGAGGCTGCTCTTCCCACACGCACCCCCCTGCACCCCCAGCACATACATGCCAACTTCTTCATACTTTATCTTTTCATCCCCACGCCCTAGTCAGCTTCCTCCCAGACCCAAGCTCCCAGGGTCTGTGATGCATTCAGTTGATGGCTCCCTCCCCATCCCAGTCTTTCTTCCAGGCTGGTCCACACTGAAGCCAGGAAACCAGGGAGGAGGCCGTGCAGGGGTTCAGTTCATGGGGAAGAAGTGGATGGAGGGATGCCCGAGGCTGAAGCCCTGAGCGCTCATTGACTAGTTGGCCATGAAGATGGGCAGGAGAGGCTGGAGAACACTCCAGCTCCTGGGCAGGCCCATGTGCTGATGGGAATCTGGAGGCATTGGGAACAGAGCCTGGTTAGACGTATCTGTGGCTAAGAGAGGATACGGGACTCTGAGCAGGCAATATCAGCCTGGAGCCGAAAAGAGCCAAGCCTAAGGGGAGAGGCCCGGTCACCAGCATGAAGGAGGCTGCCAACCCTGGGTGCCTGAGGTTGCCCAGTGGGGCAGGATGACAGTGACCCCAAGGAGGTGGCGGAAGAAGGCGGAAGGAGTGGCCAAGCTGGGTAAGAATGGGCCATCCATGGTGTCGCACACCGTGAGAAGACAGAGGACTGAAGCGTGCCACCCATGCAGCCTGTCCCCCACACCTCGGACCCTTTCTCTCCTTAGAAGTGGCCACCGTGTGTGTTGAGCGGGCAAGCCATCCTCCCCCCTGGGGGCTTTGTGTCATGAAAGCCCAGCATCTGCCTGGCAAGGTGACTCAAGCCTGTAATCCCTGTACTTTGGGAGGAGGAGGCTAGAGGATTGTCTGAACTCAGGGGTTTGAGACCAGCTTGGGCAACATGGTGAGACCTTGTCTCTACAATAAAACAAAAAATTCACAGGGCGTGGTGGTACATGTCTGTAGTTCCAGCTGCTTAGAAAGCTGAGGCGGAAGGATCGCCGGAGCCCAGCAGGTCGAGACCGTGGTGGCCGTGAGCGAGCCACTGCACTCCAGCCTGGGCGACGGAGTGAGACTCCAACTCAAAAAGAAAACCAGCCCAGTGTTCAGGATTTCCCCTCCTGGAATGCCATGCACCCCATTTCTCTTGGGTGCATCAAGGTGGGTGCTGACCACTGGACCTCCCCATGCACCAGTCAGACCCCTGCCTCCACACATTCCGGTCACCTCTGCTTCTGTCACCCCCCCTTTTTAAATCCTCTATACCAATTAAAAACACCATGCCAGCCAGGCACGGTGGCTCATGCCTGTAATCCCAGCATTTTGGGAGGTGGAAGTAAGAGGACTGCCTGAACCCAGCAGGTCGAGGCTGCAGTGGCTGTGAGCGTGTCACACATTTCAGTCTGGATGACAGAGTGTGACTCCTACACAAAACAAAACAAAACACAATGCCAGGGAAAGAGAATGAAACAGATGTTTGCTTTTGAATCAGATGTCAGAAGGAGGAAGTCTCCACTCTGCAGCACGGGGATAATGGCGAGCAGATTCCCCGCGGGGATGAGAGCAGGTGGGTGTTAAATCATGGGGACACGAGGGGGCCGCGGGTGTTTTATTCTCCAGACCATGATGCAGCTTTCAAGGGTGCTTTGCAAAGCACAAGGATGGCCTTGTTAGGCCTCGCTTCCGGGAGGGGTGATGAAGAAAGAGGAGGAGGAGACGCTAGTGGCAGAGCAGGCCTGACTCAACGCCCCCACCTTGGAGATGTAACCCCGTCCCTTGCATCAGAAAAACCAGAGTTTCAGAGACTTGGCTCCCCTCTGCCCTCATCTGTCACCTGGTCAGGCCCCAGGGGCCATCACCCGCCTCCTGCGTGCCCTGCACCTAGGGCCCCCCTGCCAGAGCCTCAAGAGACACAGTGACCCGAACAGAGCCGCAGCTTGACCTCAGGTCCCACTCCTGGCTGGCGTTGAACCTCAGTCCGGGGGAGCCCAAGTCCTGCCTGGGAGACAGCCGGATACTCAGCCAGCGACACTGGGCCTCGTCACAGGCAAGCACCACGGTGCCCTCGGGGTTGCTGTAGGTACACGAGCTCTGGGCAGCCCGTGCCTCCACAGCCAGATTCCAGCTGCCCCCCAGCTCCTTATCATCCAGCCCCAGGGCCTGGAAGCCCAGAGAGTCCTGGGTGACGGGACACACTAGCTGCTCCTCCTTCAAGGCGGGCAGCACCTGGCCCTTGAGGTAGGCAGGACCCGCGCAGTAGGCCTGGATGTTCAGGAGCCGGTCGGTGAACTGGCGGAGCCAGCTTAAGAGGTAGGCCAGGTGGCAGTCACACTGCCAGGGGTTGCCATGCAGGGCCAGGTTGAACAGATTGTCGTTGGTGTCGAAGATACCCTGCGGGAGGGCAGTCAGCTGGTTCCTGGAGAGGCTAAGCAGCTCCAGCTTGGACAGGTTCTGGAAGAGCGCAGGGTGCAAGGTCGTCAGATTGTTGCTGCCCAGGTAGAGCGTCACCAGCTCCCCGAGGCCCCTGAAGACGTCGGCGGGGAGGTGGGCGATGGCGTTGTGTGAGAGCGTGAGGGAGCTCAGGTTGGACAGGTGGCCAAAGGTGCCCTCGGCGACCGTCTCTAGCCGGTTATGGGACAGGGACAGGCCGGCCAGGCCCAGGGTGTGGGCAAAGAGGCCAGCTGGCAGTTCCTGCAGCCGGTTTCCCTGCAGGCTGAGGAAGGCCAGGCGGCCCAGGGAGGAGAAGATGGGCAGTGGCAGGTGCATGAGGGCATTATGCTGCAGCCACAGCCTCTCCAGGCGGAGAAGCTGCGAGAACACGGTGGGGGGCAGCTCCGAGAGGGCGTTGCCATCCAGGAAGAGCTCCTTTAGGCCACCCAGGCTGCTGAACACACCCCGGGGTAGGCTGGAGAGCGCGTTGTTGCTCAGCCTCAGGGTCTGCAGGCCTGCGAGCGGGTGGAACAGGTCCTCGGGGAGCCAGGCCAGGAGGTTCTGGGCCAGGTTGAGGGTCTTCAGATGCATCAGAGGCTGGAAGAGCCTCCCGGGCAGGATCTGAAGCCGATTTCCCTGCAGCTGCAGGGATTCCAGGGCATCCATGTGGTGGAAGAGGCCCTCAGGCAGCGCCTCCAGCACGTTGAAGTTGAGGGTGAGCTTGCCCAGCGACGTGAGGTTGGAGAAGACGTCGGCGCTGAGGTTGGAGAAGCTGCTGCCTGTGATCTCCAGGTCCTCCAGCCCGGGCAGCCCCCCAAAGGCATCGGGCTCAAAGTGGCGGAGCTGGGTGTTGAGGAAGACCACCTTGGTCAGGTTGGGGCTACCACAGAAGGCCCTGGTTTCCACCGTGGTGAACGAGGTCTCCACAAAGACGATGTCTGTGGTGTGCGGTGGGATGTCCGGTGGGATGGCGGTCGTGTCCTCATCCGAGCAGAACACCTCCCGGATGAAGCAATCACAGCCCACAGGGCAGGGCTGGCCAGGCCTAGCCAGGAGTAGGAGAGAGGCCCAGCACAGCCAGGCGCTAGGGAGCATCTTCTAGATTTGAGGAGGGAGAGAAAACAGGGAGGGCACCTTTATCAAGGGCAGCATGGCCAGTAACCAGAGCACTAGAGAGAAGCCCAAAGACGGGACGGCTGCGAATGAGGGTTAGCCTCATCAGCGAGGCCACTGTGTGAGCAAGAGCTTGTATGTCTTAGTAGCTTGTTTGCATGCCACCTCACAGCAGCCTTGAGAGATAGGTAGGGCCAGGGTTTTCATCCCGGCAGCTAAGGCGTTGTGAGTTCTGTCCCCAGGCATCCTGCAAGTGAGTGACAGTGGCAGGACCAAGACCCGGGTCCTTTGGACTTTATTTCCAGATGGGAGAGGGCAATGGAAAGGAGACCAGTAGGCGTGGAAGAGAGGTGTATAAGGAGACTGTGGGCATGGTGGAACTGCAGGAAAATCTGTGGGAAATGGACAGAGAGCTCCTGAGCTGAAATGTCTAAACTCTAGCTCCTCCTGAGTTTCCGATCCCAGCCCTTGTCCGATCCTGGTGATGAGGAGGTCCCAGCGTCTGTCTCTGCCAGCCCGCTGAGGGCAAGGGTGTTCACAGGGACAAGACGGGCTCCTCAGCACTGCTGCCCAGATCCCAAATGCCTCCCTGTGCCCACCTCTGCTCCCACCACCGGGGAACCCAGGGAACGGTTCAATGTTGCGTGGACTTAAGGGGTCCCAGACTTGGGGACTGTACAGGACAGTAGATATTTTTTGAATAAAGAAGGGAGACCAAGTTTTTAATTTGCTAAATATGAGTCTTTAAAACTGCCAGCGTCTACCCACAGATTGCACACTTATAAGTATGTTTTGCTTATTCCTCAGTGATCTTTTTAATATACAGATCAGTAGCCAACATATGAGAATTGGGAAATGCTACATTAAAAGTCCAGATTTCAGGATGATCTGGGGGCACATGGCAAGACCAGCTGGGACTTAGTAGCCCTTGCCCCTTAGAGGGTGTTCAATCGCCAAGCCACGACTGTTAACCAATCACATCACTTTTTTACATGGCTTTCACGAATTTGAATCCCAGGTCCATCACTTTATAGCTATGTGATCTTGGACATGTTCCTTAATCTATCTGTGCTTCAATTTCCTTATCTGTAAAATGGGGATAATAATAGTGCCTACCATGTAAGGGGAATTGTGAGGGTTAAATGAGTAAACACAGCTAACAAATCAGAGTCTGACATAGAGTGAGTAATTAACAAATTACATTAACCATTTTTTTAAAAAATTGGAGTCTCATTCTTTGTCACCCAGGCTGGAGTGCAGTGTCACACTCACGGCCACTGCAGCCTCGACCTGCTGGGCTCAGGCTATCCTTCTGCCTCAGCCTTCCAAGTAGCTAGAACTTACATTAACCGTTGTTAAAGGATGCAAACCACCATCATTACAGAAAAGGTTATTCAGAAAAGATCAAAATGGCTGGGTGCGATCGCTCACACCTCTAACCCCAGCACTTTGGGAGGCTGAGGAGAGAGGACTGCTTGAACCCAGGAGCTTGAGATGAGCCCGGGCAACTTAGTGAGATCTCATTTCTACAAAAAATCAAAAAAATTACTCGAGCATGGTGGTGCACACCTGTAGTCCCAGCTACTCAGGAGGCTGGGCCAGGACGATTGCCTGAGCACAGGAGGTCAAAGCTGTGGTGAGCCATTGATCATGCCAGGGCACTCCAGCCTGGCTGACAGAGTGAAATGCCAATGCAAAAAGAAAAAAAAAGAAAGAACAAAATACTCTTTAGATAGGATACATTTGAATTTACCAAAATTTTAAAAAAGAAAGAAAGCTCTCTCACAACATAGTCCTAATTTTCTCAGCTCTCCTCTCCTGTTAAAGAGTTTACAACTAGATCAGGGATGTGGAATTTGGGCCCCTAGCACGCATTGCTGGCCGCCTCTCTGCTGCCCTCTGCTGGTGCCTCCTCCATTTCAAGATTCCGCCTCCCGCTGAAGGTCCCCAAGAGTTCAAGGTCTCCTGTAAAGCCAATGCTTGCAAAAGCCCCCTTGACACTCCTTCCATTCAGACACTCAGTGGCTCTCGGTTTTCCCAGGAATTATCTGCAGAATCACTGGAGAAATCACCTGAGAAAATGTACGCCTCCCTTCAGACTCCTGTGATGCTGGCAGAGATGCTAACTAAAGCCAGCTCTGGGACGTAGTGAGGAGGACTCTGCCCATAAGAACTGCTGGCTTGGGGCTGGGCTTGGTGGCTCAGCCTGTAATCCCAGCACTTTGGAAGGCTGAGGTCAGTGGATTGCCTGAGCCCGCGGGTTCGAGACCAGCCTGGGCAACTTGGCAAGCCCTCATCTCTACAATAAATAAATAAATTAGGCGGGCGTGGTAGTGCACGCCTGTAGTTCCAGCTACTTGGAAGGCTCAGGCGGAAGGATTGCCAGAGCCCAGCAGATCGACGCTGTGTTGGCCATGAGTGTGCCACTACACTCCAGCCTGGGCTAGAGTGAGACTCCACCTCGAAAAAAAAAAAACACTCCTGTACTGAGTAGAGACCCCACCCACAGCTCCCCCTGGGCATCCCACAGGCTTAAGGGTGTGTACTGCTGTGGCTTGGTCCCCTAGAAAGATGGACCCCTGTGCCCTTGTGAGGGGTGTCATGGGGGAAGAGAGGCCCGAGCTGGGCCTCTAAAGTTCAGGGCAAGACTCCCCTTGCCCTGTCTATCAGGGCAGGGTTGGGGAGGCAGGGGACAATACTCATGATGAGGCTGCAGAACACTGATAACTTCCCGGTGATCCACTCCCAGCCTAGAAGCATCGCACATGTCTCCTGAGTGGCAGTCTGAGTTCAGATCCTACCTCCACCCCCAATTAGCTCTGTGACTTTCACAAAACGACTTAACCTCACTGCACTTTACTGTCCTCATGCTCAAAACTGAGCACAATACCACCTCGCCTACGGGGCTATTGTGAGGACAGAGTGAGAAAATGAGAGGGAGATACAAGCCCAGGGCCTAGCACACCATGAGCACACGGCGAATGAGTGACCTTGATCGTTCTGCGTTCAGCCCGGCCCCAGCTCTGTTCTGGAATCTCACAGAGGTTAGCTACAGAAAATCTGCCCCACCGTGGCCACCGATGCCTCTCTACAGTATTTGTTTCTAGTTCTTTCCTCCCCAGCCAAGTGAAAGTGTGATTGTTTGGTCCTTGGTTTAGAGAGTACAGATTGCAAGGGCTCTGGCCAGAACACCCTAGACTTGGACCCCTTCCCCAGCCCACCCTCAAGAGAACAGGTCACTGAGGAGCCCTGGAGACGGAAGTGCCCCTGCCTGGAAGCTGTAGAGGCTGGCACCAAAGGACCACAGTGGGACAGCAGCCAGAAGCTTCCTGCTTTTCATCTGGGAATAAGACCAGCAAATGCCCACAAAATTATCCCACACTTTCAGCGTGCCAAGGAAGTTTGGTTTTTTTCAAGGGGAGGGGTGGTGCAAATGAGCTCCTTCCTTGGGTTGGTACATTTCTGTGCAGACCTCAAGCCAGTCTGTCATCCACCACAGAGCTAAACCTGATTCTTTCCAGAGGGGGATGGGAGCCCAGAATCCTGGACCCAGACGCCCAGGGAGCTGCTGCTTGACACTACATTGGAATTCTCCTCACCACTTGGGCTCTGGGCTCTGCCACTTGGGTCCCAGCTCAACTGGAAGCATAGAGAGGGGCCTCCGAGACTTTCTGGAGCCCCTGGCTACCTCATCTGGTCCCCCTGGGAAGACTCACTGCTCCTCAGACCTGTTCTCCTCTCCTCTCAACCCAGCAAGATAAGTCAAGTCTGGGCTGATTCCAGCCTCTGTTCCTGCCCAGGCCAGCCTACCTGCCTGCTGTCTACTTGTGACCCAGAGTGTGAGGCCACCACTCAGAGTTCCAGCTTCTGCATCTCCACATTGAGAACAATCGTGATAACAATAATCATCGCAGTACCTAAATTGTAGCATTGTTAGGAGCTTAAATCAGCTAACAGGCATTGAACCAGGACCAAAAATAGATACAACTGAAATGTCCAGCAGGAGGGGCCAGATAAATGAATTATGCTACATGGATGTCATGGAAATCCTCTCTGCTGTCCTTAAAATCATATTGCGAATGTGTATTTATTGATAAGATGATCTTAATATCATAAACGAAATATGTTCAGTCATCTCGAAATTCTACATTTCCATTTTTAAGATGTATTTGTACATAGAAAACATAGTTTAAAATTATATACAAAATATTTACAGTGTTTATCTCTGAAAAGTAGAATTGTGGATGATTTTAATTTTTTCCTTCTGCTTAAAAATGTATGTTCTGGCCGGGCTCAGTGGCTCAGCCTGTAATCCCAGGACTTTGAGAGGCCGAGGCGAGCGGATTGCCTGAGTCCGCAGGTTTAAGACCCTCCCGGGCAACTTGGTGAGACCTCATCTCTACAATAAATCAAAAATTAGCCGGGTGTGGTAGCACGCACCTGTAGTTCCGGCTACTTGGAAGGCTGAGGTGGAAAGATTGCTAGCACCCAGCAGGTCGAGGCTACGGTGGCCGAGAGTATGCTACTGCACTCCAGCCTGGGTGACAGAGTGAGTCTCCAACTTCAAAAAAAAAAAAGTATGTTCTACATTTTATTATTTATTTATTTATTTATTTATTTGAGTTGGAGTCTCACTCTATCGCCCAGGCTGTAGTGCAGTGGCATGCTTACTGCCAGCAGCCTTGACCTGCTGGGCTCAGGTGATCCTTCCTCCTCAGCCTTCCAAGTAGCTGGAACCACAGGCGTGTGCTACCATACTTGGCTAATTTTTGATTTATTGTAGAGATGAGCTCTTGCCAAGTTGCCTGGGCTCGTCTCGAATCCATGGGCTCAGGCAATCCACTCACCTCGACCTCCCAAAGTGCTGGGATTACAGGCTGAGCCGCTGAGCCCGGCCTGTTCTACATTTTAACATGAGAAATTTGTATTACTTCTGTAATAAGGTTGAAAGCTCTTTTATTATAAATATCGAGGTAGTTGAG